ACCCCTACTCAGGTATGATATAGTTAAATAACCAAGAAAACCCTATTTCCAAACAGGATTACATCCACAGATACAGGGGTTAGGATTCTAACATATATTTGGCGGGGGTGGGGGACATCATTCAGTCCATAACATACTCCTTTGTCTTCTGTTTCTGGTGACTCATGCTCATGAGCCCTTGTTTCTTTGTGTGGGCTCATGGTCTTTGAAACTTTATATGTAGGAATCCTTTGAGTCCTGGGTTGAAGCTGTGCTCCTCCAGAGAGCCTTCACTTCCTCCTAGTCACTTGGTTGTACTACTAACCTGACATCACTTAAAATTGTCTAGTTGATGGTTTGGGGGCCATATAGGTAACATGAATTCAGACCAAAAACTTGCATGAGTGTTGCTTTGTGGTTAAGAATTATTGTTGTTTTTTGCCCTCTGTGTAATGTCAGGCACATGGCTTTGCTTTTCCATGAAATGAAGAAAGAATTTAATCTGCAGGTCAAAAGGGTAATCTGGGCTTTGGGAAAATTTAATGCAGAATGCTCAACACTGAGCTCCATCCTGATTGTTGCAGAACAAGGATAAAGAAATAATTCTTCAGGGGTTCAGAAAAAAAAAATCACCTAGAAGGCAGTCTTGCATCAGATTTCTTCACCACAGTGTTCAGTGTCAGAAGACAATAGAGCAATGGTTACAGACTTCTGAAGGAAAGAAAGTATAGCTCCCGCATATGATATCCACCAAGATGCTGGTAAGTATAAAGGCAACAGGCAGACATTTTCAAACAGGAAACTCAGTACCCAGGGGCCTTGGTGGAAAAGGTACTTAACAAGTGGTGATAAATAAGAAACTTGTAACTGTAGAAGCAGTGGAAAACAATGGATCGTGAGCAGTGACTCCATTACATATAGGACATAGGTACCATTGTGTCAATTATGGTTACAGAACAGAAGGTAGGTATAATAATCTTGGCATTGAAAAATAAACAACTAATGCCCAGATGATCTTATCCAGTTCACGGATTTAATTATCATCTATAGCGTCCCTATGAGTCGGAACCAACTCGAAGGCACCTAACAACAACAACAACATGCAGATGACTTACAAATTTATGTCTCCAGCTTCTTTCTTGATTTCTAGACTTCTTGTCCCCTTTTCTTTGTTTTATTTTACTCCATCTAACACACCATAAGGAGCCCTGGTGACACAATGGTTAAGTGCTTGGCTGCTAACCTCAAGGTTGGTGGTTAAAACCCACTCAGTGGTTGCACAGGAGAAAAACCTAGTGATCTGCTCCTGTAAAGATTACAGCCTAGAAAACCCTATCGGGCAGTTCTCTGTCACATGGAGTCGCTGTGAGTTGGAATCGACTCGACGGCACCCAACAACAACAGCATACCATATATTTTACTTTTTTCCCTCTCTAGAATATAAGCTCAAGGGCAGGAATTGTGTCTGCTTTATTCACTGCTGAACCTGGGACATAGGTACTCAATAAATATTTGTCAAATTAACGAAAGAATGAAATGAGTAGGTAGAATTGACAGTGTTTGACATCTTAATTTTTTAGAGCAGAGTGTCACAGTCTAATATCTAAAATGGAATTAAGTTGGATGAAATAGGTAGTGACTCAAAGTTCTTAGTGTTTTTATAATCTCTCTAAAGAGCTCTTTGGGGAAATAATGTCTTGAGGTACAGAACATTTCAAATTCAGTTCCATTAGTTTCACTTCAGTTTCTCTCCTGATAAATCAAGAAAAATTAAATATTTTTATTAAAAAATATTTGTCTTTACATGAGTCTTTTTATCTTTGTTCCATATATATGCATAAAAAGATGTTGTAGGCATTCCAATAGACAGAATGGACCCCTGCCCAAATTGTGGTTTGGATGTCAAGACCGGATGATGCCACACACATACCTCAAGAGGATATTAAAAAGGTTTATTACTTACATAAGTGAGGCTGTCTAGAGAATGGCTTGAGAGAGCCAGGAAAGGAGACTGGCTTGGGGCTTTTATTGTGAGAGAGTGAGGCCAAGATGAGGGTTCCTGCACAGTTTGAATCTCCTGCTGGCACCAAAGGAGAGAGTACCCAGCTTGCTTATCAGCTTGCTCAGACAGAGCGAGGGAGAGAGAGGGGTGATGCTTCAAAGCTGTCAGCAGTCAGACATCAAAAAATAGAGTCAGACTCCTTCTAAAAGATGTTTGGAATGGTGAAGACTTATTTTAAAAAAAATAATATTGAGTTTTGGGTAAAAGTTTATACAAGTTAGACAATTTTCACACAGATTGTTCAGTGACATTAGTTACATTTACCACAATATGATAATGGTGTTCTGTTTGTTCCATATCCAGTACTCTAGTTTCCATGCCCCCTTATCATCTCATCTTTGCTGTTGAGTAATTGTTGACCTTATGGTCTCCTACTGATGGTTTTTAAGTACAGCACCATTCTTAAAGGTGATATCTTTTATTTTGTGTGCCACTCTGCTATTTGCTAAAAGGTGATCTCAGGGGACAGGCTTGGTTCTAGGTTTAAAGAGTGTCTTAGGGCCATAGTCTCAGGGAATCCTCTGTTCTCTACTGTTCAGTTTGTCTGGCTTTTTTTAAAAATAAGAACTTGAGTCCTGCTTCTTATTTTTATTCCATTCTATCTGAGACCATCTATTGTGACCCTGGTCAGAACGGTCAGTGGTAGTATCTGGGCACCATCTAGTTCTTCTGGTCTCAGGGTAGATGAGGTTGTAACTCACATACACTTGTTTCTTCTCTGAGCTTTTGGTTACCTTCTTACCGTTTTGCTCCTGGTGAGAGACCTGTAGTTGTGGGACCTATTAATTTTTGAATGGAATGATTTGGGGTGATTTCGTGTTTTCCTTTTTTATACTATCCGACTTTGCTTAAGGAGTCCTGGGTGGTGCAGACGGTTAACACACTTGGCAGCTAAACAAAAGGTTGGAAGTTTGAGTTCACCCAGAGGTGCCTTAGAAGAAAGACTTGGCAATCTACATCTGAAAATTCAGCCATTGAAAACCCTATGGAGCACAGTTCTACTCTGATACACATGGGGTCACCATGAGTCAGAATCATGGTGGTATACTTTGCTTAAATGCTGAATAATGAATGTGTTATTTTTTACCTCAACGATAAACTTACTCATTTTTTAAACTAAAAATAGTGTCTGTTTAACAACAAAAAAGACCTTGCACGAAATCTCTAGGATCATTGATACATGAACTTTCATAATAAGAAAGAATATAGTACGCTGAAAGTATCTCACTGATCCTTCATGAGTTTTTATGGTACCTTTGCTGTCTTGTGTAATAGCTGATTCCTGCTGACTTTCTCAAGAGTATTTTACCCCCCAGCTGCAGGCATGCATACACACATGTACTTGTTTCTCATAAATGGTGGAAACATGGGCCAGCACTTGGAAGAGTTTGTGGTCAGAACTATACCTTGCCCCTCTGATGTGTGGCCCATAGGAAAATTCAACGCTCAAGGTTACAGCCAAAGGGGATAAATTTGGCAGAGGGCCCTGAAGCCCAGAAGCACCCTCCACACCCCCAACACTAGTAGGATCCAGGCAGCTCTTAGACTCTTTGGGCTTCTCCAAGGCTTTGGCACTCCTAAATTTCTCCACCACTTGCAGACTTGGAAATTTTTTTTTTTTTTAATTACTCCATTTGCCTGTGGGTAGGTCTTATTCACAAAGGGCTTTCATTTTCCTGCTCTTCTGAGGTTTCACTTTACCTGTGAGTTAAGTAGGCAGACAATACCATTTAACAGCTGAGAAATGGCCCTCAAGAAGTTGTGACTTGCCCAAGTTTGCAGGGAAGGGGTAGTACTAGTACCCACATTTTCTCACTACCCATTCCCTAGTTTCTCATAGGCAAATGGAACAAGACCCTGTCAAATGTCCAGTTTGCTTTTTAAGTTTTTAAACTCTAAGAACACTATTTTAGTCCAGAATGAGACCAAAAAAAAAAAAAAAAAGCCAAAGAAATAGTGCCTTTTCAAGGGAGTGTGCCTCTTTGAAGGTGAGCCCTGGTGGCCCAGTGGTTAAGCATTCGGCTGCTAAATGAAAGGGCAGCGGTTCCAACGCACCAGCCGCTCCGCAGGGGAGAGATGTGGCAGTCTGCTTCCGTAAGGATTACAGCCTTGGAAACTCTATAGGGCAGTTCTACTCTGTCCTACAGGGACACTATGGGTCAGAATTGAGTATTTGGTGCTTCTTTGAGAGTTTAATTGTGCTCTGTATTCTTTTTCTCCTCTTTCCCATCCCCCCATACTATTTTTCTCTGTTCCCCCTTCCCTCTTTCTCTGAGTATGTGGTTGCAAGTGGAGATGGTGGGATTATCCTGGGTTTCAGTTTACTGAAAACAGCAACAATCCCTTGCTGGATATAAATGTCTCCCTCCCTTCTTTCCTCCCTCCCTCCCTCTCCCCTTCCCTTGTTTGCTTCTTTGCTTTACTCTAGAGCAGATACAGTCCTGAATGCACAAAATGCTCAAAAATGGATAATGAATGAATGGATGCGATACACATTAGTTGGAACTTTCCAAAGAGGCAGTAGGCTCAGAGCGGACCTCTTAGTCTGCACGCTCCATAAGGAAAGGAGGCGCTCAATTATATTTTATGAATATAATTTTTAAGAATATTCATTTGATGAATAAATGATTAATCATCAGTATCAGTAAGTGAGAAGCCAGAACGTGTACCAGCTCTTCAGTCTTCCAGTCTCGTGGTGACCTGCCACTTAGCCTCTGCTAACACGACTGGGCCTTCGTGGGGGTGTAAGACAGTACTCACGTTCTCATTGCAGGAGAAAGGAATAAAGCCCAAAGCTGGGATGCAGAATTCTGAACTAGCGGTGGGCAGAGCCTGAAGAACTGCGCGCGCAACCACTCCAGCTGCGAGTCAGGTGACTGCTTTTCCCTGGCAACGGCTTGTTCCTAGCAACCGGGCGGTGGTCCAGGTGTAGCTACCTGAAGGCCAGGAGGCTGCAGCCATGAATCCGCCAGGGGCCCTAGGGATCTTGGAGGAGAAAGAGGACGAACACTTATCAACCCCGATTCTCGGGCCCTCGGTACATTCTGATAACCCTCAGGAGCGGATCCAGACCCGGCGCCTCCGCATTGCTGCGCGCCTGGAAACCCGGAGGCGGTGAGCGGGGTCGGGAGGGTCTGCAGCAGAGAGATCAGGGTGCCAGTGGGCGGACGGGTGCCGCTTCTAGGGGGTGGCAGCGCCGGCGGTGAGGGATCGGTGTGCCTTCAGTGTGAGCAAGACTCTCTTTTTAATTCCAGTAAAATATATATAACGTAAAAATTGCCACTTTAATAATTTTTAAGTGTACAATTCAGTGACGTTAATTATATTCTCAATGTTGTGCAACCATCACTATTTCCAAAAAGAAATTTTTTTTAATCACCCTGTGACTCTACCCTCATTGAGCAATAACTCCTCCTTTCCCCCTCCCCTCAGCGCCTCTAGCCTCTAATCTTTCTGGCTCTATGAATTTGCTTATTCTAGATATTTCATATAAGTGAAATTATACGATATTTGTCCTTTTGTGTCTGGCTTATTTCACTTAACATACTGTCTTCAAGGTTCATCCATGTAGTAGCACGTATCAGAACTTCATTTCTCTTTAAGACTGAATAATAGTCTGTCGTATGTATGTCCCACATTTTGTTTATCCATTCATCTCCTGATGGACATTTGGATTGGGAGCTTGTTTCTTGATAAGAGAAAACGTATCTTCCAGAAGATTCAAGCAAGATATGGATTATTAAAAAACATTCAAGATACTAATAAAGACAGAAGTAATAATCCATTCAGCACTTTTATTGAGAGCTGCTGTGCCAGGCATTGTGGACAATACACTGAGAATTTGTTACTGCAATGGCGGGTCTGAGCTGCCTGCCGCAGAAGCCAGTACTGAGATGGGTGAGGTGAACAGCAAGCGTGTTTTATTGTATATTGATATACAGGAGACAGAGGGGAATGAGCTCCTCCAAAAGACCTGTCTCCCCACTGGAGACTGGCTGAAAGTTTTTATATGGACAGGATTATAGTTTCTTTTCTGGTGGTTACATTCTGCACTCCCCAGATGATCTAACTTCTTACTGGCAGTCCTTGAAGGTCATCTGGCACCGTTAGTCACGTTGCAGATGAGTTAATCCTAGTCCTTGAGGGTTATCAGTTTGTTCTTCTACCCTCCAAGGAGAAACTTTAATCTTACTGGAATAGGAGGAGGGAGAAAGAATAACAAAAAAGAAAATATCATGAGGAGAAGCGGGGGCTAGTAATGGTGGGAAGCAATGGTGGTAATTGAGCTTATGCAGCCTGTTCCAGATTCAGGTCATTTGTGACGTGCCCTGAAGGAGCCTACAGCCGATTAGGGGTCTTTCTCCCCATCCTTCTTCCTGCCCACCTTTCCTGTCTTCCACAAGTGTTTATTTAGTATCTAGTATATGCTAGTCACTATGTTAGGCACTGCATTGGGGTGCAGAAAGTGAAGTCACAGCCCCTGTGCTCACCGTCTGCTGGGGAGGCAAAATAGACCAGCAGAGGTCACAAGCACCAATTGATAAATGCTATAATAGACGTATGGAGCCCTGCTGGCGCTATGGTTAAGCGCTCAGCTGCTAACCTAAAGGTCGGCAGTTAGAACCCATCCATCGGCTCTGTGGGAGAAAGACCTGACAATCTGCTTCCATAAAGATCATAGCCATGATTGGTAACCAATGTCATAAAACAATATGTGTGTTAATTGTTTATGAGAAGCTAGTTTGCTCTGTAAACCTTCATCTAAAGTACAATTTAAAAAAAAAGATTATAGCCATGAAAAAACTCTATGGGTAGTCGCTGGCGGGGGGCGGGGGGTGTTGACTGCACCAGGTGATACTGTCAGAGGGGGTGACACCAAAATGACTCCATAAAATTTTTGTGCAGTGTTTCAGCAGAAATTTTTTATTTTTCATAGAAAATACCCCTGTAGATAGTTATAACAACAAAATTTTTTTTCATAAGCCTAGCTTCCATGTATCCATATACTTACAAGGCTAAAACTGTATGCTAATTTACTTTTTGAACCTTCTAATGTGCTCCGGTCAGAGCTGTCATTATTACTCAATTACAATGATGCTTTGAATCATATGGTTTCATCTGCATGTGCTACAAGCAGCGCTGTTGTTTTCATTGCTACTGGTGTTTTTATAATCACTGTTATTGTCAAATTTTCTGGTGTTTTACCTACAATATTGTGGTAATTAGCATGAGAGAGTGACTCCATGAGTTACCACAGTGGGTGACACCAATCCTAGTGACACCACTGCCTATGGAGCAGTTCTGCTCTGTCACATAGGGTTGCTATGAATTGGACTTCACTCAAGGGGCGCACAGCAACAACAACATAGTAGCGGTATGGAGTCCTTGGGTGGTGCAGGCGGTAAATGCACTTGGCTGCTAGCCCAAAGATTGGCAGTTTAAGTCCACCCATAGGTGCCTCGGAAGAAAGACCTGGCAATTGGCCGTTGAAAACCCTATGGAGCAAAGTTCTACTCTGACACACATAATGTTGCCATGAGTCAGAACTGACTCGATGTCAACTGAAAAAAATAAAGGTATAGAAATGGTGGTTCAGGAACACAAATTACCCACTGTCATCAACTTGATTCTGACTCGTGGCAACCCCAAATGGATTAAAAACCAAAAACCAAAAACCAAAGCCTTTGCCTTTGAGTCTATTCCAACTCATAGCAAATCTACAGGACAGAGTAGGACTGTCCCCTAGGGTTTCCAAGGCTGTAATCTGTATGGAAGCAAACTGCCACATCTTTCTCCGATGGAGCAGCTGGTGGATTTGAACCACTGACATTTTGGTGAACAGCCAAGCACTTTAACCACTGCACCACCAGAGCTCCTGCATGTGGATTAAAGCTAAAAACCAAATCCGTTGACGTTGTGTTGATTCCAACTCTTAGTGATCCTATGGGTCAGAGTAGAACTGCCCCATGTGGTTTCTAAGGCTGTAATCTTTATGGAAGCAGACTGCCACACTTTCTCCCAACAAGTGGTTGGTGAGTTCAGACTGCTGGCCTGTCTGTTAGCAGCCAAGCTACTCCACTAGGGCTCCTGCACGTGGTTTAAAACAAAACAAAAAACCCCCAAATCCCTTGCCATCAAGATGATTCTGACTCATAGTGACCCTATAGAACAGAGTAGAACTGCCCCATAGGGTTTAGAGGCACCTAAACCCAGCCAGTGGTGGGTGTGGTCATAGAAAGCTATGAGAGATCAACGTTCAACAAATGTTTGTTATGGGCCCTGGTAGCGCCGTGGTTAAAGCTCTCGGCTGCTAACCTAAAGGACGACAGTTGGAACCCACTAACTGTTCCTCGGAAGAAAGATGTGCAGTCTACTTCTGTAAAGATTTACAGCCTTGGAAATAAAACACTGGTTTAAACTTAGAAAAATAGGGATAAATATTAAGGTAACCACAAAGGAAACTTACAATCCTACACATCAAAATAAAAAACAAGAGAAACATAAAGACTCAGCAAATACAAAATCAACAGCAATGAAACAAATGAAAATAAAATACATAAAGAAAAACAACTCACCACAGAAAATTAAGTGGAACAAAGAAACTGTCAACAACACACAAAAAAAGACATCAAAATGACAGCACTAAACTCATACCTATCAATAATTATGTTGAATATAAATGGGCTGAATTCACCAGTAAAGAGACAGAGAGTGGCAGAATGGATAAAAAAACACGATCTTGCCTACAAGAGACACACCTTAGACTTAAAGACATAAACAAACTAAAACTCAAAGAATGGAAAAAAATATATCAAGCAAACAACACTCAAACAGCAGGAGTGGCAATATTACTCCCTGACAAAATAGACTTTAAAGTAAAATCCACCACAAAGGACAAGGAAGGACACTATATAATGATTAAAGGGTCAATACATCAGGAGAACACAACCATGATAAATATTTACACACCCAATGACAGGGCTCCAAAATACATAAAACAAACTCTAACAGCATTGAAAAAAGAGATAGACAGCTCCACAACAATAGTAGGAGACTTCAACACACCACTTTCGGTGAAGGACAGAACATCCAGAAAGAAGCTCAATAAAGACACAGAAGATCTAAATGCCATAATAACCAACTTGATGTCATAGACATATACAGAACACTCCACTCAACAGCAGCCAAGTACACTTTCGTTTCGAACGCATGTGGAACATTCTCCGGAATAGACCACATATTAGACAATAAAGCAAGCCTTAACAGAATCCAAAGCATTAAAATATTACAAAGCCTCTGTTCTGACCGTAAAGCCATAAAAGTAGAAATCAATAACAGAAAAAGCAAGGGAAAAAAAATCAAACACATGGAAACTGAACAACACCTTGCTCAAAAACTAATGGCTTATAGAAGAAATTAAGGATGGAATAAAGAAAGTCACAGAAGGAAATGAGAATGAAAACACATCCTACCAGAACCTTTGGGACACAGCAAAAGCAGTGCTCAGAGGTCAGTTTATAGCAATAAATCCACACATCCAAAAAGAAAAAGGGCCAAAATCTAAACATTAACCCTACAACTGGAACAATTAGAAAGAGAGAAGCAAAAGAAGCCCTCTGGTGTCAGAAGAAAGGAAATCATAAGAATTAGAGCAGAATTAAATGAAATAGTGAATAGAAAAACAATTGTAAAGAGTTAACAAGACCAAAACCTGGTTCTTTGAAAAGATCAACAAAATTGATAAACCATTGGCCAAACTGACAAAAGAAAAACAGGAGAGGAAGCAAATAACCAGTATAAGAAATGAGATGGGTGATATCACAACAGGCCCAACTGAAGTTAAAAGAATCATAACAGTGCTATCAGAAATTGTACTTAAAAAAATTGAAAACCTAGAGAAAATGGACAAATTTCTAGAAACTCACTACCTACCTAAACTAACACAAACAGAGGTAGAACAACTAAATAAACCCATAACAAAAGAAGAGACTGAAAAGTTAATTTAAAAACTGCCAACAAACAAAAGCCCTCGCCTGGATGGTTTCACAGGAGAATTCTATTTCAGAGAAGAGTTAACACCACTACTACTAAAGGTATTTCAGAGCATAGAAAAG